CAGTAGCATTATAACGCCATCCCATAGACTTCTTCACCCTTGGCTGTTAGCAGAACCAAGCCTCAGTAAATCCTGAGTCACAATGAATCACACATTGAACACGAGGAAATGCTCTGTACTGGAGGAATGCAGGAGTGGGGTGTGGGCTGAGGAACAGGTCCGCCTCATCCCGTCCCAGTCTTCATTCCCCTCTCAGCTCCATCACGCTCTGCCTGCCTGAGCAGCGAGGGTACCAGACCGCCGGCTGAACGCTGCCCAAATGACTAAGGAAAATATTTTATCGCCCTTCCCACTACTTATGCTTCCTTGATAACACAGTAAGTGCTGATTTGTACAAAGATGCACGAAAAACAGTTTTGTTCTTTGGATTAGGTTTTTGTTTGCTGTAGTCTCTGCCATTGAAGGTAAAAGATTCTTTTTAAAAAAAGAATGCATTTGGGCTATACCTCATTTTTTGACCTCTGCTCAAGATTAGTGAGGAAGAAGAGATGGTCTGGAAATATTTTTAGGCAGTCCTAAGTACATTAAAATGAATATTCCTATGAATGAATTCATTTTTTAAAAACTTCGTTAGTTTTTAAAATAAAGCACCAGAGGCTATATGCCCAAACCTAAAGATGGTATCTGTTGAGTGGGCAGCTTTAACTAGTTGGATCTGTTTCAGTCTGGACTTGAAACATAGCATGAAAAAGACTTCTCTCTTTACACTAGTACACAGAAGACACATTTATATAGCCATTAGGTAATCAGTTCTTAGATTTTTTTTTTTATCAGTTAATACAGATTACATTTGTAACAGAGACAACCATTTGCATGAACCATATGTGGGTGAATGGAATGAGATACAAAAAGAAAAGTAACAGATACTATGACAAAATGAAGCTAAGTAACCAAACTCAGAGGAAAGAACTCCAAACTCAAGCCTTTTTCCACTAGATGATAAATAATGTTGAAATCAAACTTGGAAATATACTTTTGCAATTCTCTTACCCACTTACAATGTAGAGTGCAAAACTATCTAAAATATATTTTCAAATATATTTTGTTGACATATATGTTCATATAGAATTATACTAGTACAGATCTCTATAGATGCTCTTTTCTTGAATGAGATATAATTAATTCAGTATGTTAGTCTTTAAAGAGAATGTTTAAAAATATTATATTAATATGTATAATATTAAATAACATTAAAATATTCTGAATTCATGACTAAAACCAAATTTTGAAAACTTTTTATAAATGGTCAGATAGGTGTAAAATATTAAGACCTCCACTTTCACTATAAAACTATAAGTAGTAAATTTGCATCTCATAAATGGTTCTATAATCAGATTAAAAAAATAAGCAGTGAAGTACCTTCAGATGAACAATTCTGCTATCTCTGTAGTTCTCTAACTTACCACATTTTGAAAGTGTGTTAATTCAGGAGATAGTCTATATAAAACAGTCACTAGAAATCATTTTGCAAACAGCAGGACATTAATAATTACAACTCCCTTCAATTTCTGTGGTTTTACAATCGCTATTACTATTACCTCGTACAGCTTTTCACCCAACACTTCCTTCTCAGAGCTGATTGCCTTCTTCCAATAAGTACCAAAGGCATGAAAACCAGAACCTTTGTATAAAATTACTATAAGCTTAGCAAACTTAAAGCATCTGTTTAATTCTTTGGCACACTCATTTTTAGAAAAGTATCTCCTACAAAAGAGATATCTTACCCTGAATCTTCTTCACATGAAGAACCCTAAAAGACTGTATGCCAGCAGTTGCTTCCTTTTTTTAAAAGAATATAATCTAAATTGTATTTTCCTTTTTTTTCCCTCATTTAATTTTTTTTTAAAACAGTGAATACAAATCTCGTGTTTTTTCCTCCATTTTCCCCTCCTTCCTCGGACATGAAAATATGGAAGCAACTTGATCTCCTGTTTCTAAATGTTCAGTTTTAGCTAACCTCAAAAAGGAAGTGGGAAACGCACAATATTACAGAGTTTCACGTGCAACAAAACAACTATTAGTTACTCAAGCCTCATGGGATCCATTTTTTATTTGCAATATCCACATACCTATCAAAGTTCCAATTCTCAACAAATCTACCTACTCTATTTGCCTGCCAGACAGACCCGTAGTATTATATTATACTAGAAGGCATATGCAGCTGCATTTTTCCAAATCCTCCTTTTGTTTAATACATGCTATTTTCACAGCTTACAGTGATAAAAGGACAGTAGTTACTCCTTTGTCTGGCTTCCTCCTATTTAAGCATTAGTCCTTACACAACAGCTAATAGTATGTGCTCAACAAACGCTTACTGAATAACGAATAAATCAATTTCAGCTATGTTTACGAACTTCCACTGCAAACATATTCTTAACAATCAAGAAATAATTTCAGGCCATTTTGGGGTACCTGTATCCTAGAGGCATCAATAATCTTTCTCTTTTCTATGAAAAAAAGTGTGTTTGTTACATTTGCACAATTAACACAAATAAGCCAACGAAACATATTCAAACCTCTGATTAAATTTAGCCACACATAATTTTGTCAGATAATTCATTTAAAACACGTTGCTCAGTCAGTTGGACAAAAAAGCACGCAATTTCTCTTCTCTTCTAAGAAAGCATTTCTTCAAAGATTTCTGTTTAAAACAAAGGAAGACTACAGATAGCTGTACCCTCCAGTTTACAAAACAGATTAACACTCATTCTTCTAAAAGATTAAGATGCATAAGAAAGCAAGATGTGTGGCAGGTTTGTGGTATGGGCTGTCCCAGAATGAATAACTGTGTAACCACAGGACACTAACCAGATTCCTGGGAAGTCCAGCTAAGAAACTGAGTGTATGTATTTACATACACACATATGACACATGCATGTGCTTACCATGACCTGAAGACTTAAATTCTCTAATTTGTTTTGTTCTGTTTTTTTGTTTTTGTTTTTTTTTTTTTTTTAAGAATTCTTGCTGGGATATGTGTAAAGTTAAAATCCTTGCTTTTAAATCTTGAAACAAAGAGAAGACAAACACTAAGACACTCTTTTCAAAATTTTTGAGTGGAAAAAAAGTTGATTCTTATTATTTAGGCCATGATCCTATCCTTCTCATTTTAAAAGTCAACTTCTGAAGTTAACACTGGAAACCACAGCCAAACTGTTCACATAATAATATGAAGATGGTTGAACACTCTAACTACAATGTGTCCATACCAGTCCACACTCCACAGTTTAACAGTCTGATTGTAAATGGTCTATGCCCTCTTCAGCTATAAATTTCAATCAAGATTATTTTATGACTCTGTGGTAGGTAGCACTGTAAAATGTGTGACATGGGCCTGTGTCCTTAAATATCTATGTGGCTCTTGATATAGTATTTATTTGGAGTTTGGACTATTTTATTGGTTTTCAAAGTGTGGTCCCTAGAACAGCAACATCAACGTCACCTGGAAACTTGTTAGAAATAAAAATCATGAGCTCATACTGAGACATACTAAATAAGAAACTAGAAGACCCAGCAATGTCTGTTTTAACCTCCAGGTGATTCTGGTATGTAGGCAAGTTAAAAAACCTCTGGCTAGATAATCCTAAAGCCTTCTCAAACCATCAAAATCCATTATTATTAAATCAAATATATCTTCTGAAACTAGCACCACTTTCAATCAAATGCACTCAATTATTCCTAGTAATCGGAGTAAAATCTTCTAATAAAAAATATCACATTCTATTAGTAGTTTTTAGACATTTGCTGCATTTTCACAAGGACATTTGTATTAGCAAGCTTTCCTAATTAAGTGGACAGTGTAACAAATATTAGAGATTATTTTAACTTACACTGGTGATCTCTAAATTAAATCTTTGTTTCCTTTAGAAGAAGGTGGCTTATTCCAGCTATCGTGAAAAGTAAATCTATACTTTTGGTGACATCTTGCCTCTGTCTCTCAAGGTTGGCTGCTATGAGCAGTGTTCTCTCACTTTCCCACCCTACCTGCGAGAAATACTGAACTTTGACTCAAGAGGTGCAATCACATGCTGGAGAAAACATTTATGAAACTACCACAACAGGCCAAAGAAATGAGGCATTTTAGTATCCCCCCCACCTCCAAAAAAAAGGTTAACTCGTCAGGAAGCGTGAAGCCTCATACTTTTAAGTAATTCTAACCCCAAGCTGATCTGGTTCTAAAATGTGATTCAGGGAAGTCTATTTCTATAGTTAACAACCCAGAAATTGTTTTATTTAAGCCATAAATCCCAAACATGACAATGTTAGACTTCCAATGATGGTATCTTCCATTTTTCTAAGGTTCTTACTAAAGGACAAAAATAGACCTTTGAAATGACATAAAGCTTGGAGGACAGGGACCAAAAGGAAAAGCTGTTAAAAAACAGCAGGGGCCAAGTTTAGTTAACTTTTGCTCTCCAAGATAAAGGTTCCTTTCCCACCCAGTTTCTGTTGGAGCAGGTGATTGCCTTATAGCAAACTCCCTTGCTTCCTTTAACACCCTCATATCAACCCAACTTTTCCATGGAAACAAATGCTCCTATCTCTTCACACCATACTCCTACAAGGGGGCTCTTCCCGGCCAAAGAAGCGGACATATTCTTTAAAACAATGCCCTCAATCTCTCTCAATTTTGTCAAGAAAATAAGGGAGAAGGCTGCAAAACACAGAACTGCGACATTTCTGCTCCAGGCACACAAACAAAATTTCTTTCATTGAGAACCCAGAAAGCATTTATTTCACAGTACTCAGTAAAAACATATTAAAATCTTCTGCCCTGGCATCTCAGACCTATAAAGTATTTAGTCATGCAAGTGAATAAATCCTCTGTGAAGATGATTAATGGACCCATCAGCCTAGTTCGCTTCCAATTTGGCTTTTCAAATGTTTTCAAACTCCTTTCAGGAGCACAGACAGGTCTTAAGTGAGTCTGATACTGGCAGCACTTTATGTCAAAAGGTTTCCAAAAAACAAAAACAAAACCAAAAACCAAAAAACCAAAAAAACAAAGCCGTAAGAAACAGTCACCAAATGCTTTTTAAAAAAATCCTTCACATAGTACTTGGTATAAGTCTTCAGAATTTTCAACACTTTATATATACTGAAAAACTAAATTTACTCAAATGCAAGACTTAATATTTGCAAAGACAAAAACTTATTTCTATTAATTTCTGTATTTATCATACACATACTGCCTTTCAACTGTGTGATTCTAAACTTATGTGAGCTCAAGAATGAAAAAAAATGGCTATAGGACCATCACAGGCCAATTCTCTATTCCTCCTCCATGCTGGAAGAGGGGCAGGTCACCTGGGCTAAGGACCCATTTTAAGGCAAGATGTTAATAGCTTTAAAGATGCCTGTGGCCTGTAACTTCTTTTGGCTTCCCCAACAGAAGACTTCACCTACACTTCACACAGCTGAGGGTATCACGTACACTCTTGATGTACAGTCATATACTTTCTTTTATTCTACAGAGATTATACTAGTAAAGAGGCCCTTAACTGAAATAAAATAAGCAGCAACAGCTCACACTGCCTCCTACTGTTGGAAGGAAAATTTCATGAGGTCAAAATGGTCCACAAATTGCAGCTTAATGGGAGTTAGGGGTTCATCTTCGTTTTTTCTTTCTAATATCTATTTCCAAATCAAAACCTCTAGTATTAAGATTCTGCAACCCATACAAATGTACTGCAGAAAACACTACTGGGTATGACTTCAGGACTGAAAATCATCTTCAAACATGTTTTTGACTTGATATGTGATGTAATTAAACAGAACAAAACACTGGGGGGGAAAAAAAAGAAAGAAAAAGAAAAGTTAAAAGCTCTTCCCTGCCTGGTCAGGAGATTGGCAACTTCACCAAATCTAAGGCAGTATTAGCAGTTGGTTTCTACCCTTCTCTACCCACAGTGAGGTAAACTACTCCCTGTCAGCAGAACAGATTCAATATCCTTCGTAACTTGTAGTTAAGTGATAGTGGCCATACCCCCAGGGCTTCCTAGACCTTTATGATTTTTTTTCCATATTTAAGGAGTTGGAAGTAATGTCACCCAACTTGTCACTGAGGTTTTTCTGTTGCGGGCATCAAGCACCTGCCCCCATCCACCTCAGCCATGATATTGTATTAAATCACTGAATATGAAACACAGAAACACAAACGATAGTTTTAGGTTTGTTTCTTTAAAAATGACATTTGTATTAAAAGTCTTAAAATGAAGAGACAATGATTAAACACGTGTCTGGAATTAAAAATTACAGTTAGTTAGAATTCTCTTGGTACATCACAACAATAAAATTTTGCTCTTTGCTTCTGGAGGAACACCCTAGAACAGATAACCAAAAATTTAAAAAAAAATAATATAAAAAGGGGAGCTAAATACCTGAACATTTGAACAAAATGAAGCAAAATAAAAAAGAAAGAAAGAAGGGAGGGGGAAGCCCATTGCAAGACATGGAAACTACATTTTAAAGGCTGGAAATAATCAAGAAATTCACCAAACAACAGGCCCTATTGTCCTGGCTCCTTCAGGAAGATTACAGAAAGGAAACTAGGAAGTGGTTTGGGGAATAGCAGATTCTGGGATATGGTGGGAAGTTCACAGGTTGGCACCGGCTGAACAGCTGAGTTTTGAAGGCACTCTGCAGACACAGGGGTGCTGGGGGCCCTGAATCACATTTTTGAAGTCTTTGTACTGTATTTTAAAGAGCTAGTCATCAAAACCTGTCACTGCCAACCAAAAACAACAAAAAGCTAAACTCAAAAAAAAAAAAAAGAAAAAAAACCCAGAAAAACCACACACACACACAGGCACACAATAGTACACACAAAAATGTGCAGATCTGTAACATTTTTTTTTCACAGCTGATTAAAAAAAAAAAAATACTACCGTTCTCCCCCAGACTCCCCTTTGATACAGTAGGTAAACAAAATAGATTTTTTTTTTCCACAAATATCAGCAGACACTTTCTGGCACCCCACACTGTATTGGCATCAGTGTTTACAGTCCCAGTTCAGATGTGCATACTTCAGATTGGATACACTGTAACAAGAATCCAACTTTGCATAGACATCCTTAAAATCACAATCAGTCACAGGGTTGCCCTTCCAAGCTGGCAGAAAAGGAACCCCATCTTAATTTCCAGCTACTCCTGGAAAACAAGGAAAAAACCAAAAAAGTTTTTTCCCTTCCTCCTGCTCCTTCATTTGGTTCTCCCGGACTTCCTTCCATGTATTTAAAACTTACAACTAGAAAAGGGTTGTTGGGGGGGGGGAAATCCCCCCTCCCTTTCCACCTCCTCCTCGTACTCTTCCTCCCCACCCCATTTTTTTTTTTTTTTTCCACGCTGAAACTTTCGCTTGCCGGTGTCAAGCTGCCAATACAGCGCCCTAACGGCATTTAAACGGGGAAATATGCGTCAACCAAAATCAATGAGAAACGTACATGCTTCCAAGAGCCACATTTCCACCGGGTGTCGGATGGTGAGGACGGGACACCCCTTCGGACACGGGGCGGAGGCAGGGGACGCCGGCCGCACAGGCCAGCCGGGCTCCCGGGACACCCCGGCCAATGCAAAGTCGTCTCCAATCTCAAAGCAAGAAGAGAAATCACATTTAGAGAGTCGGGTGCGTTTGGCTTTTGTGCGCGGAGCGCGGCCAGCGCGCGGCAGCCGCGGGCGCCTCAGAGGATCACGCAGGCCGAGCAGCAGCCCTCGTCGCCGTTGGGCTGCGCCGCGTAGTTCATCTGCCGCACGATCTCTGCGAACAGCTCGTCCACCGAGGCTTTGTTTTTGGCCGACGTCTCCATGAAGGGGCAGCTCCACTCCTCGGCCAGGGCCTTGCCCTCGCCGTACGAGACCTCTCGCTCGCCCTCCAGGTCCACCTTGTTACCCACCAGGATCATGGGTACACGCTCGTACCGCTTCACGCGGATGATCTGGTCCCGCATGGGCTTGATGTCCTGGAAGCTCTGCTGGTTGACGAGGCTATAGACGAGGATGAAGCCCTGGCCGTTCTTGATGTACAGGTCCCGCATGGACGCGAACTGCTCGGTGCCCGCCGTGTCCAGGATCTCCAGCACCGACGGCGACGAGTCCACTTCAATCTCCTTGCGGTAGAAGTCCTCGATGGTGGGGTCGTACTTCTCGATGAAGGAGCCCGTCACGAACTGCACGGTGAGCGCGGACTTGCCCACGCCGCCCGAGCCCAGCACCACCACTTTGTACTCTCTCATGGCTCCGTCGGCGCTCTCGCCGCGCCTGCCGCGGCCCCGTCGGGGCTGAGCGCCGGAGGAAGCCTGGGTTTGGCGGCTAGGCGACTTCTCCTCTTCCTCAGCCTTGCAGGAAAAACCTAGGAGAGCGGCTAGGGAGCGCAGGGCTCAGAAATCACCAAACGGGGGGCCAGGGACCAGGAGCCGGGGGCCGGGACCCTGAAGGCGGCGGCGCGTCCCTGGGGCGCGGGTCCGGGGCCCCGCAGCAGTCCGCGGCGGCAGCGGCAGGCTTGGCGGCGGACCGGGAGGACAATGCCGGCAGCCTGTGCGAGGCGACGGTTGCAGCTCTTCGGTGCGGCCGCCCGGGAGGGCGAAGGGGTGGTGGCGGTGGGCTGCGGAGGTGACTGCTAACTGCGCGCCGGACAGGGACGCGCGTGGCATGAGTCCCCTTAGAGCGTGCGCCCACCGCCGCGGCCCATCGCCCTCTCTCCCGCAGCCTCCGCGGGGCGAGGGCTTCCTACTCGCCGCGCGCAGCCCGGCCCTCCCCACCCCGGCGAGCATGCCCAGTGCGCCGACGGCCGCACCCGCCTGATCCTCCGCTCCTGGTTTTCCGGGGGACCAGGCGGGGGGGCGGGCCCGAGGGTGGGGCTAACAGTTTGAGTCTGGTGGAGCGGATTGTGAGAGGCTCCAGTCCAGGATCTGGTTGAGAAAGGTATGGGGGTGTGTAGGTGTTTGAGGGGTGCTGGAAAAGCTCAGGTGAGAGGATGAAGATGTGGGAGGATGGGTTCGTGCATAGGGCGGTGGCTCTGCAAGCAGCGTGTGGGCGCGGAGGGCCGCTCCCGTAATGGGTTAGGTTGTGTTCTTGCCGACTCCCGTTATCAAAAGCTTGTGGACTCCACTCTCCGAGGCCCCAGCGAGTGTGCGTCGTCACCGGGTCGGAGACCCAAAGGGCATTTGAGTGCGAGAGCAGCGGGTGGAGCATCTTTGCCCACCCACGGAGCAGCTTTTTTTAAACCCTTCGCCTCGGAGACACTGCTCGGCCTTCTGCGGCCACTCTGCCTGCAGTTCAGCTCCTCGACAAAGGAAACAGGAACTCAGGGCTGAAATCCTGTCCCGACAGGGGAAGGGGTAGCCTCTCGTGACCGGCGCTCTCTGGGGCTGAGACTTGGAGGGTCCCACCCACGTCCCTACTCGGCTGGGGCGGAAACCCGGCGGTCGGATTACAACCCGATCCAAAAGTCGTGGCGGCGCCCGCAGCTAGTCAGGGCATGCTCAGTGGGCAGAACAGGTTTTCGGGCTTAGAAATAGGAAGCTTTTGCACCACACACCCACACTCCAGCTCAAATTACCTCTCCCAGACTCGGGGCTCATTGGTTCCGGGGCGCAAATCTCACACCCCTAACTGTTGTTTCATTGGCTACCGCCAAGGTTTTACCAGTTTGGGTTGCTTCATTGGCTAAAAAGTAGCCTCGGCTCATGATTGGTTATTTATAGAGATTGAGTTGAGAGGCGGAGGCACAGCTGTTCTTTCTCTGCTGCTCCCCCCGCCCCCTTCCTCCCACTTCCCCAACCTAGTCGTTTTGAAGCTCAGAGTGAAAAAATAAGAGGAATTTAGGCGGAGAGCTCAGAGCTAAATATAGTTCTTTGTTGGTGTTTTCGAGAGAGTCTGACTTCGAAGTGCCCAGTCACGACTGCCCCTTAACGGGAGCAGAAAGGTCTAGTTACAGTTCTTGGTCCGCAAGCAGCAGTAAATTTCCAAGTTGTTTTTGCAGGGAGGGAAGTGGGGGGAACTAGGGTGTGGAGATGGGCCACTTTGAGTTCGTGTCACCCGGAGGGGTGGGGGAATGCCCAGGCTTGCCCTTATTAAACGTCTCTTCGTTTTGGGCGTGCTGTCTGCAAATTTGGCTGGGCTCGCACTCACGGGAGGTGCGAGGGAGATGTCTCGACTTGCCCTGAGTCTCCCTCCCTCCTTGCGGAGGAGAGATGTCAAGACCTGTCAGAAGACTCAGCGAAGTTTGCGTGAGCCCTAAAGTGAAGTGGGTAGGAGGGGACTGAGCTGCGTCAACCCGGGCTGCGAGTCTTGCCTTTTTTATCCGATGCTACTTCCCACTCCCCTTGCGCATCACACAGACGAACCAGGCTGTGTCCTAACGTTTGATTTCAGTTCCTTAGTCCCGCCGTGACTCACGGCCACGTTTGCGAATTAACCTTTCCCGAGCTCCTGGCTGTAGCTCAGAATCTGCCGGTCGAAGTCCCCCGTCATCCGACCCCGCGGGACATGGGCGGGGTGGGGTGGTTGGTGCCCATCCCTGCCCCTGGCCCCACTATTTAGTGGAGAGAACGGTTTAACCTTGACAATCAGAGAGCCTGGATATAACTAGGCTTATATAATTCTCCAGAAAAGCCTCTCAGAGGCGCGTTCACCTAATGCAGCTGAAGAGAACTCCCGCAACATTCACTTACCCAGCATTTAATGCCTGCCAAGCGTTTTACATGTTTCATGTACTCCACATAATACTTATTACATGTATTTTAAAGATAAAGAAACTGAGGTCCTGGGATGTTGGTTAACTTGCTTGCCATTTCACAGTCATTGAGTGGCCAACGTAGGATCCCAGCCCAGGTGTTTCGCTGCAGAACCTGGTTTGTGACTACTAAACCATACTACCTTCTCACAAGGTATTTTCCTCTTTCTTAGGTTTGGTCTTCAGGTAGTGTGATCAGACTGTCTCTTAAACCCAAGGGACCTCTGCTCTGTGGTTCTCCTTTTGATAATGCCCCCTCCCATGCGGTCAAGGAACCTGAACCCTCTTCTAGACCATGCTCCAGGGAGTCAGAGTTCTGGAATCCTCGCCCAGAGAGTAACAGACCCTCCTCCAGGACTTGGATGGGCCTCTGAACTTAGTCTTGTGTCCAGGAATGGCTTTTTGTTGGAGTGTGGGCAGTGCTTGGACTTGTGGGCTGAGGTGCGCCCTCCCAGGCACTTTGGGCCCTACTAGGTGGGGGAAGAGGACTCAGTAGCATCAGCTTCCCCTTCACTGCCCCTTTCCAGCCTCCTACTTGGAAGAGTCCCAGAATTCATGATTCTCATCTGGCCGTCCAGGTTCTTGTAAAGAGGTATTTGTCAGAGTGGGAGGATAGATCGATATTTTGTTAACAGCCCATTCTCTTGATTTATAACTTAAATACTTAGATTACTGCTATGTGGGCCTCTCTTTGTCCTCTTACTAAGAGGGGTTCTCAGTATGACATAGTAGAAAATGCTTTGTCTTTTACAGGTCTGGTGTCTAATCTCAAGAGCTGGATATCAGTTATTAACTACAGGTTCCTTGAGCTCTCCTAACTTTAGTTTCCTGGTCTATAAAATGGTGATAATAAAATTTGCCCTACCCACCTAGCTACATGAAGAACCTTGGAGAGAATCTAGTGACCAAACCCCTCATTTTGTATCAGAGAGAACTGAGCAGAATTAGAACCCTGGTGTCCTAGCTGCACTTTACATGGTGCCAGCCTGTCCTTGGGGATAATAATTAACAGATAATGGATGGAAACATGCTTTTAAAGCTGCAGTACCCCATAAATGCATAGCAATTACTACCCTGCCCCAGGTAGCCCGACAGCCCCATCTAGAAGATTCCACCGTCAGGACTTCAGGTAGTCATGTGGATGGGTATTATTGAATCTTGGTATGAGTACCAGAAAGATGCCATCTTGTGAATGCTTTCTATTAGGGATTCTTCGGTAGTGATTTTTATTACATTCAGGTAGTCTCCCACAGAAAGATTTGCACCAGGGCTTTGGGCTTCAAAATGAAGTAAGGAAATGATGCAGAAATTTTTAAGGTTGGTCACTTCCTCCTATGAAATCTGTTAGATGTCTTCGCCTCACTTATGGCATGAATCATTATCTAGCCTTTACCATAATTATTTACACATCTGTGTCTTGTCACCCAGCACCGTGTGAATGCCTTGAGGGTAGAGTCCATATCTGGCTTATCTTTGGAGCCACTCTTGTCCCTCATAACACTTAGTACAGTGCCTACATGGGAGGCCCTCCATCAGTATTTACTGATGAATATATGAATCACATTTTATCCCTTTTCCAAGTTCCGCTTGTAGTAGAAGATTATATTAATCCTTGGTGAGACATAACACTTCCTGGATCCTTAGAAAAATGTATACTAATGTTTCAGTCTCCCTGAGTCATAAAAATGACTTTTAAGATCAGCAGAGTCTACCCTTATTTGGGTGAAAGCACAGAATCAGTGCAGTCTTGGAGAAAGATACCAAAGTATCCATTGGATAAACCCTTTCTCTAAAGACTTAATTTTGCACATAACATGAAAAGGCATTTCTAGAAAACAATCTAATGTAAAAGTTACCAGGTAAGGACTGCTTAACCATTGACAATGTATGTTGCATAAACGAGTGTACCATCCCTTGGCCTTTGCTCACACAGTGGGACTGCTGATCTTCTGTGACACTGAGGTTGGGTCTTCGAACAGTTAGATGGTACCTGTCCTCTATGTTTGTAGAAAGTAGAGGTTTATTTCATCATGTTTGTAGTTTTAGCTGATGCCTCCTCTGGGTAGATATTTTAACTAGTGTTTTCCTGGAGCACTTTAAGGTTTCATTTTTTATGGTCCCATTTCACTTTGCTTTTCATTTGAAAGGAGGGCATCAGTAAAGAAGGAGAGATTGAAATCTAAGCAATAGGATGTCCACTGAATGGAAGTTTCTGAGGAGAGGACAGAGGAGGAGTCTGAGGACTCGAGTGGGATTGCCAAAGACACATCCTTTCTCCAACAGTCAAGAAAAGCCAAGAGAACTGAACTGGAGCTGAGAGGGTGAGACTTTGAGAAAGTTCAAGCTACAAGCAACCTTCTCTCCGTAAACAGAAATGGCAAGACACCTGCTGAAGGTTGGGAGGGCAGGTGTGGTCTTGGGAATCAGAGTAGAAATGAAACTGTTTTTAACAGTGACTGTGTGGTTCGCAGCGTGAAGTTGCTAAGCTGCTAAATTTGGTTTCCATGAATCTGTGAAGATGCCAATTCTGTGAAGATGCCAGTTCAATTTTTTTTTTTTTTTTTTTTTTTTTTTTTGGAAGGGTTTTGATAAATCTTCCAGTCAGATTCTGTTAAAATTCCTGAGAGCTATCTTGGAACACGGAAAAAATAAAATTTTAAAAAATTCCTGAGGGCTTTGTATCAACACATACAAATAAATAATTATAAAATTAACTCTGTATCTCCCATATGCCAACCTTCGTGAAAATACACACAAACCACTGACTTATGTGATGAATAGTTTCATTACTCATGGGAAATTAAATGAACTCAATAAAACTGTCTTACCTATGTGGTCTCTTGAGTGTTTCTTTCTGTTGCACGCTAAATTAAAATAA